CTTGGCAATGCTGTTTTTACCATTTGTATTGCAGTATGTGTATTCTACAGAAAAATACAGCACGTTTTTCAATGGTGTTAAATTCAGTTCTCAGTTAAACTTCTTAATGATTCCAAGTAAGACAGAATAGCACGTCATTTTAAGGAATTGATTGAGAGTACTAAATACTTAATTTTGCAAAAAATGTCAGCATGTTATTTTGTGTGCATGCATTCAGAATATCAGAAAAAACTTTCCTTTTGTATTTGGAAGCTTATGACTCATAACCTTAAAACTTGCTGCTTGAATTTTAATACTAATGTTTCTGTCAAACATAGCAGTTTTATTACTTGGCAAAATTTACAAGACACTTTTTAATGTGTGGCAACCAGTACTACTATTTCTATTGAATAGGACACTATTTTTATTAAAATACAATTTTCTCACAATTACGACATGAGTCTGTGGTGCTGGGACGTATCAGAAGATGCACATATAGTTGAAAGCCTTGATTCTAATCTTAGGAAATATTTGTGGAATTAGAGTAGGAGATATTCTTGATACCAAAGAAATAGACTTAGATTTCTTTTTAGTGTTTATATGTATATGTATTACTGCCCAACTTCTTGCATGTTGTTTACCTACACACTGTTCTGTTTTTACATGAGCTGCAATTGAAAAAATGTTGACTCTTTAGATCTCTCAAGTATAGTTTAATAGTACAGTGACATTAACATGATAAAAAATTGAGCTTTTACAATATGACAGGGAGTATGGGGATCTACTTAATCCTGTGACAGAGCAGTGCTAGCCTTTCCACGTTGCCTGCAAGTCAGAATACGAGGCACAGGTTAGTTAATACTATTGTCTTTTTAAATCTAGAAATTAACAAGAACAAATTTCTAGGCTGTGCAAATAAAGAGCAGACAATATATTTTTATGTAATGCTTAGATTTTGGACCTGCTCATTTTCAAATTGTACAGAAGTATTTGCCAAGCTGGCAGAGGGCTTAAAAGATACGTAGACTTCCTAAAAAACTGTAAGTCTTACAAATGGTATGGATTTAAACATAGGAGATGTGAGAGATACATCTACATGGTGCGTATGGTATCTAAATACATATAAAATAAAAATGTATAATAGATTTAGTAGAGTGAGTTTGCTGTTTTACATTCAATGGGAACACCATACCTATATTCTCTTGCAATTTTGCTATTTTCCCTTAGGGTGCCCTAAAATTAAACCCTAAGTCATTTTTAGTTATAGCTTCAGACAATCCTACTACTTCACAACCTACTGCTGTTTATCAAATAGTGGCTGATTGGTGACTGGCCTTTTACAAGGAGGAATGCGTTCCCTTCTTTTCTCTTCTTTTAACCTCTGTTCAACCTTCAGAACTGAGGTTCGGACATTCATTTTCAAATGTATCCTAATTCATTTTAGCTTTTATATTTATGGATAGGATTATTTTTTTTCCTGGATTTGCAGCTGTTGTGTTACTGTGCCTCTTGAGATCTCATTTTTGGTTTTTTTGTTTTTTTTTTAATGGGCAACTTTATGAACTACTGCACTGATTGTGTACCTAAGACATTAGATACTGAAAGCAGTATAGTGTAGTCAAGCTGAGTAATTACACAAATAAAAGGGAGAAACACACCTGATTGAGCACCAGGATTGTTTTGATCTGTGGAAAAACAAATGTATTTCAGCAATCATTTTGGTAAGAGACCATAAGGATGTAGTATAGACTTAACCTGAAATGGTGGTTGCATTTTACCTAGCAATTAAATTTCCATGTTTCCATCTTTTTTTTTTTTTTTTTATTTGAAAGAAAGCACGGAGGATGGGGAGAGCGAAAGAGAAATTAAGTAAACCCCATAGCCGCCTTCCTCTTATGTAAAGCCATAAGACGACTATTACAATCTCTGTAAATTACAAATTTACAGTTTAGCTTGCTGCTTGTTTCCATAAGAGTACTTCAGCTCTTTTTTTTCACACAAAGTACATCGTTTGCCGTTGTTTCAAAAAGTTTATAGAGGAGATCTAAATTTTGAGTGGTGAATGCAAACCTTCCACTTCCACCTCCACAATTTACCAAACTAATGGAAAAGGACCATAATTCTTGTAGCAATGTTGGTGCTCAAGTTGTACATGTTATGTGAAATTAAAAAAAAATGAAAATCTACTATATGTTGCTGTGTTAAACATAGAACCTTCAGAACTCACGACTTATTTTCTGTGAAACTTTATTTTTTTAGGTATTATGGCAACTTGACATATTTCGACGAAGTTTAAGAAGTTTAACTGGACATGTGTGTCAGGGAGATGCGTGCATATTTTGTGCTTTAAAGGTAAATAATTTTTGGAAGAATCGTCTTTCAAAATGAGGGAAAAATAATTTAACTAATTTTTACTAATTCTTATACCTATCATACATATGTCTGTGTGACTCTAAGTCATTCTTGTGTAAAGAAACAATTTAGATTTAAGGACATTTGTAACAGAAATATTTTCTTGTGTTTAAAGAAGAAATTTTATAGTACACAAATTTTACAGTCTGCTTAAACATGAAACTTTTGTCTATTAAAAGACAGTATAACTTATTTGAAAATTTCTAGCTAGCCTCTCGGAGATTTTTTTTTCTATTTGCGTGCATATGCTTTTGTTCTTTCCCGTAGTGTTTGAATACAGTTCTTTTACATAACTATATTACTGTCTGATAAGGACTCAAGATTCTTTTTTTTACTCCGTAGTTGATGGTAATGGTGCAGAACTTAATTGTTCAGTCTGTAAGTAATGAAAGGCAGGTAGTACTGGAAAACTAATGAAAGCTGGTAGCTTTTTAGTGTTTGAAAGTTAAGTTAGATCTGCATATCTTAACTAGTGCATAAAACTTGTGCTTCAAACAGTTTTGTAACTCATCTGAAGTCTGTAAACAAATGTCAAATTCTGTTAGATTCTTATTGTTTTTACTGCACTGGTATTTGGCTGCCTGCAGTTAGGGAAATAGCTGTAAGCATGATACTGCTGTTTCATTGGGATAAAAATCCCAATGAAAAAATGTATAGGGGTTTTGGGGTTTTTTTGGGGGTTTTTTTTGTTTGTTTCTAGAAAGTTTTTAGTACTTTCTACTCTTACTGCAGTTTGACAATAAAGACACTTTTGGGATTCTAACACAGGTAGAATGTATAGTCAAATACGGTAGTAGATATAGTGATATACAGAACTGGGAATCCCTCATCTGGAGGGAGCCGAAAGGGACAACACTATTTGGAAATGTGGTTCATTGAGGAAGTGGTTTTTGATGATGCTAAATTGTAGGCAAGGACAAGGCAAGTAATTTAGAGGTTATTCTCAGGGAGTTTCACAGACCAAGCCTTGTTACTGAATGAGCGTTTTAGGCAAGAACTGTTTGCAGTGACATTTATTTAATCTTTCAGGATGTGTATAATCTATGTACTCTGTAGTTTTTTTCAGCCATTTTTAGTGTTTATCATGATTGCAGTATGGTACAGCTGGTTTTGAATGTATCTCTGTCTTTTTCCAAACATAGTTTTTTCTAAGAGGTGCCATTTTATTTCTTTGGTTAAAGTGGTTAATTTTAAAAAGCCAACAAGTTGAAGTACGTTAAGACTATACATATTCAGACTAACTTCCTGAGGCTTTTATTCCAACCTTTTTACAAGCTCTTGACTCTACAGAACTTGTTGGGACTTTTTGTTTCACGAGTGTTTTGATGCACATCATGTTCCTCTGTGTGCTGGACACTTGGTGTTGTTAGTACATAAAGTCCAGACCATAACTCAGGCACACCTGTGTTTTCAGATAAAATCTTGTGTCTGTCTTGGGATGATAGGTTTAGTTTCCTGGAGTTTTGTGTGTGTAGGGATTCATGTTCATATCTGATGTCATAATATAGAGTAAACTTTATGGAATTTTCCTTTTGATTTGACCCAGATTACGTGTGAAGTTCTGGTCATATACAGTCTTGTTCAATGCTGCACTGGAACCACCTTTAAGAAGTGAAGAGGGATTGAAGGGTGGCAATTGCTGGAGTGTATGTCTTGCACTATATACTCTCAATGACTAATCATATCGCTGAAATCATAGTGAAAAATAATGTAGCAGCTTCAGTGTGCTCAGAAACATGAAGAAGGTAGTGTTCATGGTGTGTTGAAATTGAACCTGTAAGTAATGAATTGTTCCATTCTAATGGTGCACTTGTGAAGACCAGGTGCTTCTTTTTTCCAAGCTAAACATACCGCTTGCTGTACCTTAATACCTTCTCTCTTCTTGTAGTTTTTGGGGCTGCAGGACAAAGTAAGATAGGGTTTGCATCACTTTAAGCCGCTTTCCAAAGCAATACACTAGCTTCAGTTGCTTCATAAGACTGCTGTAACTCAAACTGAATTCAAAACACTGTGGTTAACTCATTTGGAAGTATCTATCCTCAGTCATTATATACACTACTGGTTTTGCTTTCTTGGCTTTTTAGAGATACTGGTTGAGTGATTCTATTTGTTCTGTGTTCAGAACCTGGGGCATTTTGATTTTCATGCAGTGTATATGCTGGATGAGGATGCATTTCAGTAACTTGCTTGTGACTTGGGTTGATTTTTTGTTTTGGTTTTGTTGTGTGGGGTTTGGTTTTTTTTTTGTGGTCTTGGGGTATTTTAACCCTTCTTACTTGTTCACCAATAAAAAAGGATATTTTATCTATATCAGCCTCTCCTATAAACTAAAAGCATAGCCAATAAATTCTGGTTTACTTCAGTTCAATCCATTATCTTTTTCTTTTGGTGGTGTTCTGAGAGTTAAATATGCTCTTTTGTTCTCTGGATAACACTGGGGTGGGACTTTGACTATGCAGGCCACTAAAATGAGCATACATATCTGCATAACTGCTTATCTGTACTTTTTTTCTAGCTGGGCATGTAACGCTCTGTTGCATACCAAAAATGACCTAGCAGCCAAAATGAGAAGATAAATGTTTTCAAAGCAGAGTTAACTTGTATTACCAGATCTGTTAAAAACTTAATTTTGAATGCTTACATTGAGATATTGACTGTAATTTTTATCAGTAGTCCATGCTTTTTGTTATGAGAGGGAAGTTTAAATATTTGACAGACACTTACCCTGGAATGCATCATGGTTAAAACACTACTTTCTGTTAGCACTGAAACTTTGCTTATCTGTTGTATCTTTGCCTTCTGTCCAACAGAAGGAAGCCTATGTGAAGAATGTGTATCCTTATTTATATTTTACGTGGCTTCTGGTTTGCTTTGTCTTTATTCTCTTTATTTTTCTCTAAAGTTTGACTTAGAATTCTTGACAGTGGAATACACCCCTTAATATCTGCAAATGTTTTCTCATTCATTTAATATCTTTTAACTTTCAGTTCTTTCAAAATCAACCTCCCTTACTTGCTAAATGGTGAGGTCACTTGCATACATAACCCTGCCAAAAAGAAAAGCAGTAGCCAACTATCTCTTCTGGAAAATGAAGAAAAAATCAAGTGCAATTTATTCTCATGTTATGGAACTGCAGATAGTGACCTGTTCTCTTGTATGGTGTGCACTGATAATAGCAAGGATTATCAGCATTGTATTAATTTATAGGAGTTTTTTGCATATCCATGATTTTCGTAAGGATACACTCCTGTCTGAAGTAGTAATGTGAATGTTACCTTTTTTTAATGAATGATGGGCGTTAAAGTAACCCGAGTGGTATTACATTATGCCGTAAGAAATACACACCATCTGTAAAGATGAGATGCGTATGCATGAAACACTATTCCAGTGGCCAGATTAAAAAAGCTGCATAATTACAGACCGGGGCTTGTGTTCCTTCTGGGAGCTAAAGTCAATCACTTGCATTTTTTTATACTTCTATGTTATTCTTCTACTGGATCAAAGTTCAGTTTAGTAGCATAACTTTTTATAATGGAACCTAAGTAACTTTAGAAGAAAACAGTAATTTCTAAAGTTGCATAGATTTATAAACATTGTATGTATTTGCTGTTTAGGCATGCTGCATAAGAACCGATGTATTTGTTGGTTCTAGTTAAGTTAACAGTGTCTAGTTAAGGGGCTAATGAAGCTAAGTAATGTTATTTCTTCCTAGGCAATATTTTCACAATTTCAACACAGTCGAGAAAAAGCACTCCCATCAGATAATATGAGACATGCCCTGGCAGAAAGTTTTAAAGATGAACAGCGCTTCCAGCTTGGATTCATGGATGATGCAGCAGAATGCTTTGTAAGTATTCTTTGCAATAGTTGAGTAGAATTACATTAGTTTTGTGGATGCCAAGCTGGCCTGTTATTCTGGTAGTTCCAGGCTCACAGGTGGGATACAAATGACATAATACTACTGACCTTCTTCATCCCAGTTTAGGGGAACAGACAGATGGAGTAAGTGTCTGGTAATGTAGTGGATGGAGTAATCTTGCATTTTCTCCCTACTTTCTTCCCGAAGTCTATAGCTCAGGCAGAGGGATATGTGAAACATTGTTACTACAGAAGGTTGGTCAGGATGATGAACTCTCAATCACTCCTAAAAGTTTTTGGATGGAGAGAAGGGTTATCTTCTTGGGAGAAGAGACGCCTACAGATTTGAATATATAGTCTGTTCCTCCAAGTATTCTCTCATTAGCTATTGAAATACGTTCCGTTACAACTAGCCAGCTTATTACTGAAGTCTTCTGCAGAAGAGATTTCCATTTTCTTATCCAAGAGTGAACGAATACTTGAAGATCTTGACTCTTGCTGCAATTACTTTCTGCTTTTATGAAGTGTCTCATTGAAAAACATGAGCCATTACTGTAGCCATAAAAGATGACTCAAGATTGCATAGAACACTGGTAAAGAAGCCTTTCTTAAGAAGTCCTGTATTAGACAATGAAAATAGTTCACCATAAAAAAAAAAAAATCAATCCGTATTAACCTTCAGACAGATTTGAGGGACAGAAAATATGGTTGCTGCTTTGATTACTTTCGGCTTTGGATATCCTTTGGAAGTATCCACAACTGACCTGCCAGATGCATTTTCACATACATAGGAAAATCCAGTGGAGGAGAACTGAAAGTGGCTGTTTGAGATCTTGCAGTAAGGTTAATGGATTGCAGTCATGAAAGAGAATGTCTCATTAGTGCTGCATCTAATCGAAATGCATTTGGACCCCTGAAGTAATCAGCTGTCTGAATGATCTGAATAGATTCACTTCTTCCTGTTACATCTGGTATTTTTGGCAAAAGAGAAAAAAATGGCCATTCTGATTCAGGGGCTAAACTGATGACAATCATAGTACTTTTTTTTTCTTTTTCTTTTCCTTTCTTTTAAGGTTAAAAAGTGGGACGTGGGATGGGATCAGGCATGTGCTATTTATGAGCTTTTTCCATGCTTCTGTCAATGGTACTTGTGTTGGCGCATGTGCTAAATGTGATCAGATGATCAGATTGATAGCAGAGACAAATGTAAAAGTATGAAGAACTGAGACAGAGGCCTGATCCAAAAAATATTTCAGTCATTGCATGCAATGACATTAATAGCATGTCTTACTTTAAGAACAGCTTGTTCAATTTTTCTTGAAGATTCGCTTCCTTCAAAGGAGAATGCATTCTGGAAGAACAGTTGGGTAACTGTTGTCTAATGCTGTTTTTGTTAATGTTTGGAAACCTTGTAGGTGGCCTATTTGGAGCCAAGGGGAGTATTAAACTGTAATGTTGCTCATATATTCTGACTTCATCAGTTCAGTTTATATCTACATTATTATTTCTATTTAGGAAAATATCCTTGAGAGGATTCATTTTCACCTAGTGCCAAACAGTGAAACAGATATGTGCACTTCAAAATCCTGTATTTCTCATCAGAAGTTTGCTATGACACTGTATGAACAGGTCAGACCTTTGTTTGATTGCTTTAACAAATAATTTGTTTCCACTGTCCTGAGTACATAAAAACAAAAGTATTCTTATTTTTGTAGTGTGTATGTCGCAGTTGTGGGGCATCATCAGACCCACTGCCTTTTACGGAATTTGTGCGTTATATTTCTACCACAGCCCTGTGGTAAGAGCTTTTATTCTTGTATCTCATTTTTCTATATACACCCTTCCAATAATAAGCAAAGCGTGCCAGAGAAATGCTGTAAGTGTTAAAAATGAATGTGTATCCCTTTGTTAAAACATGTTTTTGAGATACTGTCCAAAAGTAACATTTAGATTTCAAAAGCAAGATGTAGAGCGAGCTTGACAAAAAGTATGTATTGCTACTGTTCTACCGCTGTATCTTTTCCTTTTAGTCATAACATATAGTTAATTGAGAGTTGACTGAAATCCGTTAACTCTTAAGAAGGGGGATCCACAGTTATTTCTGTTTATTTTTTACAGTAATGAAGTAGAAAGAATGATGGAGAGGCATGAACGTCTCAAGCCAGAAATGTTTGCAGAATTGCTGCAGGCAGCAAATACTGCTGATGACTACAGAAAATGTCCTGTAAGTAAACAAAGATGTTGCATTGCTTTAAGATACAAGGGAGAACTTTTTAGGATATTAAATCAAGCTGAAGTATTCCCCTAAAAGCAGGATTACCTGTGGCCACTTCAGCGCAGTCTAGCGTGGGGTAAAAAAGCCCTTAAATTTACATTTTATTGCTCCGGTTATAGATAAACATGGTATTGTAGGTGCAAGTGGCCTATTTAGAAAGTCGAATTATTAGGTCTGTGTTTTATTCTTCACTTCATGTTCAACATAGAGCTAAGTGTTTTTGATTAGTTGGAACAGGTGTATTTTCTGAGTGAAGTTACTTTAGTTCATATGACTGACAACTTGACAACATTGTCGTCTATTGGAATAATTTTGTGCTACTGTTGACAAAAATAGTCTCTTTTAGCTTGTTCTTCCTTAAATGGTTCTGTGTAAATACTGTTAATTTAGGAACAACAGAAAAGAAAAGTACACAAGAACATATAGACCTAAGCTTAAATGATGAAATGGAGAGGGGAACAAAAGAGTGACTTGGATATTTTCTGAGAATTCTGTTTTAATGTGGTGATTGGATGTAGAAGTTTAGCTGTAGTCTTCATCACACCTCTTCATCAGTGGGTTTTTATGATGAAGAATTTTATGCTTAAATTGTTAAACAAACACCATAATTAAATTTGAGAGTTAGAAGAAGTTGCAGTGTTGTTTTGTTGCACTGTTTCTTGTCTAGTAACTCAACTTCGGACTTCCATTTTTTAAACATCTTTGTTTTCCCTCCCATCACGTTTTTTTTTTTCCTTCTTCTAGAGTAACTGTGGTCAGAAAATAAAAATTCGTCGTGTTCTTATGAATTGTCCCGAGATTGTCACAATCGGTTTAGTCTGGGATTCAGAACACTCTGACCTGACAGAAGAGGTTATGCGGAATCTGGCAACACAACTTTATCTTCCTGGGGTATCTTACCTAAAACTTACGATTTGCTTATTCTAGAACTTCATTTTACATGTATTTTATGTATATGTAAATATTTACAAAATATAAACATATATATACATATGTATTTTTGAAAAAGCACAATTTAACTTCAAAGTTTATGTCTGCTTTTACCATTCTTCATAACATGCTGCTTGATGTAGTTTCTGCGAGAGGAAAAAGTCTCGTCAGAAGTGTTGGTCTTGTGCCTAAGTACAAAGATGAATGTAGGTGAATTCCTGGTTGAAAATCTAGGAATATCATGTTCATTTTGAAATTTGTGGAACTATTCCAGAGCATTATTGTTTTACCCTTTCAACTATGCAAAAATAAATGTTGAAATAGACCTAATAAGTGCAGAAAACATTATTTATACTCATGAAAAATTGTATAATGCAACAGGATATTTATTAGCAATTGCCTTGGTGAAATGCCAATAGTAGGTTTGGAAATTGAGGCTAAATGCTTCACACATATTTTAAAATATATAACCATTTTTACAGCTGTTTTATAGGGTTACAGATGAAAAAGCCAAAAATAGTGAACTTTTTCTTGTGGGAATGATTTGCTACACAAGCCGACATTACTGTGCCTTTGCCTTTCACACCAAGAGTTGCAAATGGGTGCTGTTTGATGATGCTAATGTAAAAGAGGTAAATATTATTTTTACTGCTACCAAATTTAGTAATCTTTTCTTTTCTAGAATGCATTCTTCTGACACCAAACTTGAAACAAGTCAAACAAATGTCTTTATTTTAATAAACCTTTAGTTTTGTAAATCGGTTTTCACAAATGAATTTTAGAATTGAGTTCACTACTTTAGTTCTGCCTTCCAAATGCCGAATGTTTCAGAATGTTAATGCACTTGTCTACTGTTGAATTTGTACTTCTTTTAATGAAAAAGAAGGCCTAATTTCTGGCAGCTGTATTCATAGTGTTGATATTCTGATTGTTAGCCTGTGTAATACTGGTTCTAGTTTTTTGCCACAATTTACATAAACTCGTGCCAAAATGTTGAATCTTAATGTACCTTTGGAATTAGTCATTTGGTACCCGTTGCTTAATAAATTATTCTTTCCGTAATTGGGTTCAATGTTGTTTATAAAGTTTGGGGGTTTTGTTTTGTTGTTTTTTCTTAGATTGGAACAAAATGGAAAGATGTGGTCTCTAGGTGCATTCGATGTCACTTTCAGCCATTGTTGCTATTTTATGCTAACCCAGATGGCACAGCTGTATCTCCGGAAGATGCTCCAAAGCAGATTATTCACTGGTCTCAATGCAAAGCAGCAGGAGGAAATGAGGAAGATTTGGGTAATTAAGATTTTTTTTTTCTTTTTAATAACAGTATCAACTGTATTTCTGAAACGGGGATTATAAAGGAGAAGGTAATGGATTAGCTGCATTGTTCTTAAATACTTTTATCAATAATTACCTAAAGGGTCTCAAAAGAGATTAGTGTATATATTCAATATTAGGACTGTTTGTTTTATGTCTGATAAGGGAATACAGATTGAGATTCATGGATAATGGGGAAAAAAGATTTTCTATTGTAGATTGTTCATAACTACTTTACAGATAACTTCGGTAATTTCGAAGAAAGTTGTAGTATATATTTGTATATGTGGATGTTCTTATGTTTGTATTGATACATTTAAAATACCTTAAAAAATGCTATAAAAAGATACTTTAAGTAAAGCTTCTTGCAAATACAGAGATATATTTGGAGCATGTGTGTTTATATATGTGTATACAAACACACACAAACACACAGAGCACAATTCAGAAATTTGGGAAAAATCAGATGGAGCTGCAGGAAACTTCTTTTTGCCAAGATTCGTATAGCATAGGCCTCAATATGTAAGAATCCAGTCTTTTGGTTCTGTAGTTTGTACTGCTGCCTTGTTTTTGTTTAACATTAAACATAACATACAAGTAAATTAAATAAAAGGCCAATTGAATTTGACATGTTCCTCGTCACATAATGAGTAGCAGCAATAGACGTAGACTGCTTCAGGAAAAAAAGAATTGAGGACCCTATTCCACTACAGTCCACCAGTATAAATATGGCGGTATATAAAATATTGCATAACCTTATTGCCTAGCGTATTGAAATGTGGTGTGGTTTTTTGTGAGGTTTTTCTTTTGTTTGTTTTTTTTAATCTGCAATTTAAAAGTTTTCTTAGTTTTAAATTTAGATATTGGAAACTTTAAATTAGGAAGTCTTTCATTTCTGAGGATAGATATGTTATTTGATAGGATTTGAAAAGAATTCTGCTCCTAAATCAGACCACATGAAAGAGAATGGAATTGGAGACCCCACTAATCAAAGGAGTAATAAAAAACTTCAGCCAGATATTTCAGGATTCAGTAGAAGCCATATTCAAGCTAGTGGTGGTAGAGGTCCAGGTATGTATTCCCCACCCCGCCCTCCCACCCCCAAAAAAAACCAGACATGTCTTATTATGAAATATTTCAGTTGATAGCATTTCAGGTGTGTGCTAACTTCTGGATTAGAATTATTTCTAAAGGAAGAATTCCATCATTGACTTGAATGAATCTTTGAGTAACAACTAATGTTTAATTAATACCTGCCATGGAATGTTAACTTTTCTGGAGAACGGTAAATGCAAAATTTTTTTTATTACCCCTCATTATTCCTGCGCTAAAGTGGCTCTTGAGGCCTTGATCTATTTCTCAAACATCATTACTCCTTCCAATCATATTGTCAGTTAAAAGGCACATTAGAAGCTTGAAGCTGATTGACCTTTTGGAGCACGTGGTGTGGCTCTGTGGATCACTGGCTGAGGAGCACTGTTCCCCAACAGTATTGTGATATGCAGCATTATTTGTAGTCCTGTATATTAATGGACTTTATGTTATGTTTGGAAAGAATAGTAAAAAAGTTGTCTTATCTGCTTAAAAATCCATTCTATCTGTACATTAGGCTTCCAAGCAAATCAAGCTGTGAGAAGTCACATGAGGCAGTGACTTCTGCATTACTTGTCAGTGCCTTTACTCTGAACTCCCCATACTTCTCAGGCGGAGAGTTGCTAATGATCTTGAGATGTGTTTCTCCTCTGTCTTTATTGTTGAATTCCTAGACTTTTTAAAACTGAGAATGCTCAGCTTGGTAACTCTTTTTTTGATGGAGTGATGACTCAAAAATGGTCAATATTTACCTTTTCAGAAATAGAAGGATTTGTTTTCATAAACAGTGACTCCACTGTTTTATTAAAAATAAACATTCACATTTAGACAAGGTTAACTTATATTTGGTTTTTCAGTATAATAATAAAATTTGATGTAAATAGTATATGCTTTAAACATGGCTTGAACATTCAATTTTAAGAAATAAAATGTTTGTAAGACACGCTTGACATAATGCTGCTTTGGTAACTTTCATTAGCTCCATTTAGTGGACTCCTTGGAGATACCTCTACATTTATATCTATACTGTACTCTCATTTTCTTAATCTGTGTTATGTAGTTCATTAGTCCTTTTAAGTAGTACTAATATTAAAAACTAAATATTATGGTACATAAATATATTTGTGTGTTTTGGTGATGAATGACTTCTTAGTAATGACCTTTGACAAAAAGTATTTCTTGCAGCTAAGTTAGGTTACAGCGATCAAAAGGACAGGCTAAAAGACATATCCAGAGAGTGTGCTCAGAAAGCTGCTGATATGAAAAACTTCTCATCTTTACGAAAAGATGCAGACAGAGGACCAAGAAGAGAGTCTGGGAGACAAAGAGGTACATTTTAAAAATGTGACCACAGAATCAATCGGTTAAATAGCTTTTATCATCAATACTAGCTGTGCAGATTTTTGTCTCCTTTTAAGAGAACACACTGTAAGATTAGTGTTTCCCGGTTTTCAGTATGCTGAAATATGTACTGAATTTGTTGAGAGAGTGTAAGAAACATAAGTACTGTAACAATATCAGTTAAATGTTAATGAGAACTTTAATGGAGCTTTTTTCTTTTATAAGATTTGATTGGGGAAGATCGTTCCAATGTTAAGTCGGGGTCTCCTCCAGTTGGAAATGGACTTAGACGCTGTGCTGATCAGCGCATATACAGCAGCCAGGGAAGAGGCTCCTATAAACATGACAATGCACCTCACCAAGCAAAGCTTTCTGTACAGGTGCTTGGATCAAATAAAACAGAAGCTTTTCCTGCTGGGGAGAAACCAATGATCAGGACCCGGCCTGATGGTGTCACTGGCTACGATACAGATACCAGTCAAGACTCAAGGGACAGAGGAAGTATCGGCAGCAGCAGAAGCAGAAGTAAAGGTTGGAAACCTATGCGAGAGACACTAAATGTAGACAGCATTTTCAGTGAGACTGAGAAAAAACAGCATAGCCCAAAGCACAAGGCAAATCCAAACAGTAAATCTAAGCATGAAAAGCAGCGAAGCTTTAACCATTGGCCAAAAGAGAACCAAATCCAGAAAGTTTTAATGACTATATATGAAGATGAAACAAAACAGGATACAGGAAGTCGAAGTTCACTGGATTCGGAGGGAAGAGGGAGTGCTGAAAAAAGCAAAGGATTTACAGAGAGAAGAATCCATGGTGATAACTGGCAAATTCAGAGGACAGAATCTGGATATGAAAGCAGTGATCATATCAGCAATGGATCTGCAAATCCGGATTCGCCTGTTATTGAAGGAATGAATCCAGCAGATGTCAAGAATGTTAAAGAAAGTGCTTCCTGCAGGTAATGCTGATGCTCTTAGAACTTGCATAGATTGTATTTACAGTAAAATTAGTTGTTTTAATGTTTATGTGTTGTTTCCAAAAAAAAAATCAAGAAAACATACTTTGGAACTTTATATGCTTGAGGTCAGGTATGTAGAAAGCTAGCAATGTTTCTAGAAATAAGGATGCGGACAACTAGGTGTTAAGTTTACCTTCACTCTGAGGCTGCAACACTAGTTCTGTTTGGAAGGCACTGAGCCACATTATTATGGCGCTGAGCCAGAACTGCTAAGCCCTGCTGAGGGGCAGGGTGTGTTAATTTGAAATAATTGCTACACTTCTTTAGTTACAAGTTTTTTAGACTGTGGGTAGCTTGCCATCTGTAATGAAATACAAGTATCTATATAAATCATATTTGTAATAGCTGTACAGACAGGCCCTTGACAAGGAGATGGCAGTAGGTGAAGTGTTTTCTAGAACACCTCAGATATATATTGATCACTTGATAATTGATTGACATGTTTGAAAGAAATCTTTGCTGAAAACTGTAAAATTACTAAAACTGGCCAAAAATGTGGTTAGTAGCCAAATTTTATTAAACTTACTAAGGATTGATGTATGCTACTAACAAGTATGTTGCCCAGAGACGTTGTGGAGTCTCTGTCTGTGGAGATACTTATAACCCAACTGGACATGGTCCTGGGCAGCCCACTGTAGTTGACCCTGCTTGAGCAAGGGGCTTTGGACTAGGGGATCTGAAGAGGTCCCTTCCAACTTAAATGATTATGTGGTGCTGTGGAATATAAAGTTACCAACCTTCCACATGCGGTTTTCTATACTGTGTGTCTTAAACTGTATGTGGAACATAGCTCCTACTAGAACCCATACATTCTTCTTTCGAATCTTGTTTATATCCATAAAATGGAAGAGCACAGTTGTAAGTCACAAATGATTGCTAGATTTGAGCAAATTTTTGGACATGTATTTTCATGAAAAGTTTTTTTTTATGGAAGAAGAGAATAGTGAATACCAGGAAATGAAAAGGCTCTGACTTCTCTAAGCGGAGATGCAAAATTTTAAAACTTATTTCATAAAGTATTGTAGCAAGTTATCAAAACAAATTTTTTATTTAAAACGTACAAAATACAGCTTCTGTATGAATTGAAATGTCTTTGATTATTTTGGAACTGCAAGAAAGCAAAATCAGTCATTTGCTTAGTTCTTAGTTTCCTAGGGAGTTATTTTATTTCGCATATAGAAGCATAAATAAAGGCATAAAAATGGCCATGCCAGGATAGGGCCAAAGGGTCATCTAACATGCATTCAGTCTATACCAGTAGCCGGTAGCAGATGCTTATGAAAGATGACAGCAGATAGGGTGGTATTTTCTAAGTGTATTCTTTTGGCCTGTTGTATTTGGCTGCCTTATGGCCTTTCTGAACTGGAGATTATGACTGTGTGTCTACTTCCCAATAAAAACCACTTTTTACCCCATGCCTTTATCTGTTCCCCTCTTTTCCTCCCCCCCCTCCTGCCTTTCCCCTCCCAACAAACTGTACAAAACCCTACTATACAAAAACCTTACGGGTTTTTTATTGGATAATGATATAAATAGGTGTAACGCGACTGCAAGCCTTGTTTATATTTTCAGTGTTTACAGCAGCCTCAAACAGTGATTTCTACAGTTATTATAACGATGCCTCATTTTTAAACATGACCAAGAGGTAATAGGATGCCCAAATGCTTCATGTGTCTTCTTATGAGAGAGAATATGATAAATTTAGAACAACTTAGTTCGTTAAGAATCTGCTTACACTGTTGTTTAAATATTTGTCAAATAAAGAAAAAAAACATACTTTATCAAAATACAAATGACTACTTGGGACTTTCAGGATGGGTAATTAGAATTGACTGGCAATACCCACTAGTTCCCTTCTAACTGTTCAGACTTTGTCTCATAAAAACAAAAAAATACAAATGAATTACTTGAAAGTTCTTTGAGAAGGTGGAAAAAAATTACTTAGTGTTTTGTTTTCTGTTAGGTTCTTTCTCCATTCTTCCTTTTTTTTTCAGTATTTTTCTTGTTTTCCCGTCCTTTCAATAACAAGAGGGGTTTTTTTGTTTGGTTGGTTTTTTGATGGAAAAATTGCCACTCTATATATTCTTCCCTGCCTTACTCTTGGAGAAGGAAGGAATTGGCAGGATGTTTGTCAGCTCCCTTCCTGGATTGTTGTAAGGCATGTTTTTTGCTTAACTAAACCAGCAAGATTTACTAAATCTGCTGATTTTTTTTTTTTTCTTTCTCCTCTTGGGTTTGCTGCTATAATCTTCCAGTTTGAGAAAAAGTTTTAAAAAGTAAAACCCTATGAACGGAAGACCAAGTGGCAATCACAACTTAGAAGAATGATACTTGTTGTCACAACAAAGTATTAATGAATAGCAAAATGTCGAACTAGGAAAATGGACAAGATAGAATGTTAGCTAATGGACAAAATAGAATGTTAGGTTACACTTAAGAAATTGATACTGATGTGATTTTTCATTTTAAAAAAACTTGCGCTTTTCATAGTCAGATGCTGCTATATGTTTAACTTCAAAATATTCAGGATGTAAACTCTTAGCACTGGAAAAAAAATATTTGTTTTAGACGTAGGTGATACTGATGATAATGGGAAACCGTATAGTATCACATGGGTAGTAGTCTTTTGCTGCACTGAAGTGGCAATTTTAGGTAAAACCTACAAATAAATTGAATTAGGTGACCAGTGGTATCTGTTCCATTTGAAAATCACTACAGAAAATAGGTATTCAAAACTGTCATGCTTTCTTGGTGATCTTTGTTAATAAGCACTTTTTGAAATTTTTATGGAATTCTTTAGTTTACAATGAGGAAAAAGTGCAGTTGGTAGTTCTTTCTCAGAGGCGACACGTTATTTTTCTATTGTTGATAACTTTAGAAACCAGCTGTCTTTAATTAAGCAAGCTGATGTGATATTAAGATCAAGAAAATACGCTTTTTATGTGCTGCATATTAGGCATCCTGCTGTTGTACACTAGAGTAAGGCTGTGATGAGTGGGCATCCAATCTCCAGAACAAATTTGGAACACCAGCCTCACAAACTCTGTATTTTTTTTGTCTGTCCATATTAAAGGATTCAGGTCATCCTAAATTTTTCTGCGGCAGCACAGCCTGTCACGTGTGGGAGCGGTGTTAAAAGTATTAAAGGGGCCACCCCTGCTATCTTACGTTATCTTCTGTTAAGTGTGTGTGTGTTAGTAAAAAATGTGATAGTGATGATAACAAGAGTCAGTTTCACATAGTTTTTACGTTTGTGTGCACTCAAGGCAATAAAGTTTGTGATCATACATCAATAGTTTAAGCCTTCAAATTACATGTATGCTTCTTTTACAGCGAACAGAACTTGTTGACCAAAAAAGCTGACAATGTGTTACATTCAGTATCCCAGCAGAACAGAAACTTTTATGGTAAGAACTTTAACTTGTGTAAAGAATAAGAAGTTTTCTAAAAATAATTTAGATGTACCAAAATTTTAATACTAACTTACTAATACCACACAAGAGGTGGACAGATTTCTGATTAGTCTTTTGTATTTTATAATTATGCTGCATAAGTTAATGTCATGATATTTCATAAAATTGGAAAATGTATATACAATTTATCTTCTCTTTCTTTTTTTAAACAAGCCATAACCAAATATTTGAAAGTTAAGACAATTTTTGTGTCAGGTTGGCTGTATTTAGGTGGATTAGAAGAAAATTGGCATGGAGTTTGTGGCTGTTTTGGGCATGATGTTAGGGTTTTTTATATACTTTTTTCGGTAGAGAGCGCTCTTGCTGACTTATCATAGCCTGTGTACTCTGTCTTTTTAAAAAGAAATCTGTTTTGTGTGTTTTTTCCCTCCATAGTGAATTGAAATTTTGTTCTTGTTCACATTTTTAACCTTTTCAGTGAGTTAGACTGATGGATAAAGATGGAAACTGTTATATCCCTTCTTGGTACATTTTGATGGAAATGTGATGGAGCAGCAGTTCAATAACGGTATCACTTTTTTCAGGGGCATTTAAAGCATTCTGTTCCACAAAGCACCTTCATTTATTCAGTTTCTTGGCTTTCTTGTAGAGCAAATGTACAGTGTAAATGGATTCCTAGCTATCTGCCGTGATATACGGGTTCCCAAATAGAGGGGTTGGGTTTTTTCAGTGCTCCACCATCATGTGAAGAAAATTGTTTGTATTATGATGGTAGCAGCAGCAGTAGCTCCCTACTTCTGTGCTAGGGCGTGAATTTGCATGGTGGGAGTTTACCTGTTCTTAGCATCTTCTTTCAGACAGCAGTGGCAGCGCTCAGCTGTACGCTGAGTTATGTGAAAGCATGACATGTCTCCCAGACAGGTGTTTCACATGACCTCTAGTGCCAAAGTAACAGGCTAGGTGATTTTTTTGTAGCGCTTGGATCTATTTTAAATATGATATTTTGGTGTGGAAAATGTAAGCATCATTTTGGGAGGCCACAGCTTTATAAATTGTTAGGTAATCAGGATACAATGATTCTTCTTGTCACAGTCGTCCTCTCCTGGTGTGTTTTGTTACAAAGCATTTTCTTTATAGGTTGATAGAACAGTTTGTCCTTCCTTGTACATGTTATCTACTACTGCCTCCTCAGGAAGTGGCCAATGTGTAACTGCTTCTGGCTGGTGTAGGTTCTCTGTACAAGAACTGAAAACACTATTGTTCACCAGTATTAGTGATTTTACCAAGGTCTGTAGTGACATGACAAGGGGCAAAGGTTTTAAACTGAAAGAGGTTAGATTTAGATTGGACATAAGGAAGGAATTTTTTACGATGAGGGTGGTGAGGCACTGGAACAGGTTGCTCAGAGAAGTTGTGGGTGCCCCATCATGCTTTGAGCAACCTGGTCTAGTGAAACATGTCCCTGCCCATGAAAAGGGGGTTGGACTTGGATGATTTTTAAAGGTCCCTTCCAGCCCAAACCGTTCTATCATTCGATGATTCTGTGATTTTTTTTGATTACTCTGTGCTGACATAAAACATCCAGTATAATTCATTTTCACTGGCCTTAATTGGTACTTTCTTTTTAATCCAATGGAAATTATTAAATGTAAATCTCCGTTTCTGTTGCTTATATTCGGCTTTGAGAACTTATTTCTCAGTTTAATGTTTTTGGGGTTTTTTTAGCAAGTGTGCATGTTCCTTCCCCGCCCCCTCCACCCACCCCCACCCCAAAAAAAAAAAGAAAAGAAAAGGAAAAAAAAACCCCATGTTAATTTTGTTCACTCCCTGTGTTTTCCCCAAAAGCATTTCCATGAGCTTTCTTGGTGGATACTAAGGAATATTTTTTAAAAATGCCTTGGTGGATTGTGGTACCATTTGTTTTCCTTCAAGATATGAAGCAGTACCAGGAAGAAACACTTGTAATAAGGAAATCTACTTCCTTTTACATACTAATATGTCTGTTAGGTTTTTATAAAGTTGATAAATGCCTTGGCATATAAATATTATAGGTCAGCATGAGGTCAGCCAAAATCATTATCTACTGTTGCTGGAACAATGGAATGATGCTTGTACAAAGAGGTGCAATAAATACTAGTCCACTTCCCCAGGAAATGTTTGATTTTTATAGATATCGTACTTCTTTTCAAATAATGTATAGTATAGTTTCTTCTAAGACTTAAATTGGGGAGAGGGGTTTGCCATACCACTTTTATCTTTTGTGTCATTATTCCAATTTATTTTTTGGTTGTAGAAAGAGAACTAATTTGGTGTTTGTTTATTTTGACAACAAAAAAACCAAACCCAAAATTGATGTTGCATGGAATGCAAAGATCTGTTTTTGCATTACATTTATTCTGCTTTAGTTCTGAACTATACTATGCTTGTCATACCAGTGGAAAAAAACCTGCATTTGGATAGCAAAAAGGGGAAAAAAAAAAGCACCAGTGAAAAATACATAAAGGACTCTGTCGGAATGAAAAATAGGTGGGTTCAGAAAATGTTTGAGCTTAGTAATGAGTATTCTCCAGAGAGGACCATGTACTGTACTTAAGTATACTTAAAGCTTTCAACACGCATTGTACATTTTCTTTAAAAAAGTTCAGTGATTCCAGGTGATCCTTAGAGTTATCATAAAACATTGATGATAAGATCCCATCTATTCAGTTATTCTAATTCAGTAAATAACTTTTCAATAGTTTCATAACAAAAATGTATGTATTCTAAGTCAAATGAGAATTTTTCACATGTGTGCATGTTTTGGAAAATTATACTCTTAGTGGAAGTGATTAATGGGCTGAAAAGATATCTGAAGAATTTGATCATTTCACACATATGTGGGGTTAAAGATTTTAAAAACTCAAGTTTTTGGTTGTCTAAGTGTGTCAGGACACCTTTAGCAAGGACCATAGTAGTCATTTACAGGTATCAGTTATATTACCTTATGTTATATCTCTGAATATTATGAACAAGACATGAATTGGTAGGTAAATACCAAACGGACTCCTAGAAAATAGTACTTTAAGAAAGAAATGCCCAGTCCTTTCTGAGAGAGGAATGGAATCTAAGAAATCTTTGTTAGCCTCTCACGGCAACTTGAAAAAATATCTGAGTGGTTTTTTTGTGTGGAAAACTTATTATGGAAGTAATGTTGAAACTTCTAATTATGCCCACCATTTGTATAATTGTGCTTTACCAGTTCTGCATTTTTAACTGGAGCTGAATAAGGCTACTGTTCAGCAGTTGAGGAATTCTGTCCCTGACTTACAAAAATAAACTTATTGTTAGAGCGTTATAAAGATAGTAACATTGGCTCACACAGTGGTTATGCAGATCAAACGGCTGCTTCTTGTACTGCTTACTACCCGTTAATAACTAGTGCTGAAGCAACTGTCCCACAAGACCAATCCCTAATTTGTGTGCTCAAATTCTGGCAGGAAAACGTGGATATTAAGTAAGCAGATATAGTATCCTTAATTTATATTAATGAGTTAGTGCTTGTGAAGTTTGAACTTTATGAACTGTGGAGGCTAATTATTTTTGTTTATAAAGAACATGTGACATGAAGAGTGTGAGGGCAAAATTTCCAACCTCACATTCTTCAAGCTCAAGAAAGATGACTATAACTCTTGGAAGTTGGAAAGAGCTATAGAATTTTTTTTAATGGTTTTTCAGAGCAGTCTGTGTGCTAGCTACAGACAATCATTTTCAATCATAAAGGAGTTTTAGTGGCTTTCATGACAGCCCTCCCCGATTCCTAAGGCACAGATGTCTTCATGAAATTGCCACTCCCAACAATTTTAATAAAAGGCATTACTGTTGGGAGGGTTAAGGGGGAAAAAAAAAAAAAAAAGAATGAAATCCTAGAAGCCCTGTTTTCTAGACTCCCCCCCTCACGCCCCCCAAAGCTCAGAGCACTTCATTCTTGAACTAACCTGTCAGTAGAATAAGCACTGTGATTAAAATTGGCCAAGTGCTTGATGGCCTCCTATTTAAGATGCAGTATTAAAAGCTGCCCGTTCAGTGATCTCAAAAAAGGATGTACTTGAAATCAATGCCTTAAGTTAATAATTGCTTCCGTTTGAAAATAAATGCAAAGCAGTGTTTGTAATATTACAAATCCAGAGGTTTTCCCACTAATAATAATTCAGTTCAGTAGCATGAGACAACTCCAACTGAAATCTAGAATCATTCTGAAACTCTGGTGAGTACGTAAAGAAGAGTCCAAACTGCCTTTGTCTATTTGTCACTTCAGAAAAACCCACAAACCATAATTCTGAAAAAGAAAACTCATCTTCTTAGGAAAACCTTACATTTATAGTAATAACTTAAAATATGCAACTATACTTAAGAAAGTCCAGTTTTTACCCTTATGGTGCAGTCACTGTCGTGTTTGAAGAACCGAGTAGTGAATTAAAGCATGCAGCTACTTAATTTACTTGACATGAAACAAACAAATAAATGCCTTTCTGGAGTATCTTTAAATGATAGACTAGAGATTTTGGTTTTAAAAAAAAAAAAAAAAAAAAAAAAAACCAAACCCTAAACTTTCAAAATTTCCAAATGTAGTCAAGCAGCCCATGAAGATGGAAATGTAAAGCACTCTCACATTTGTAATTCACTTTATTAAAGTGAGGAGTTTGCAATTTAAAATAGATGATGCAAAGGTTCAGGATTGAGTTTTAAAACAAAGACCTGATACACTTCTTGAGATGGGTAGATAAGAATGAAGGGAGGGTAATAGCTGGTGTTCTTTGTCGACTGTTGCTTCACTTCAGAACTTACTTAAACTCTCACACACATGCAAGTATGCACCACCCCACCCCCCCCAAAAAAAAAACAACAGTGGAACTTTATTTTAATTTTTTCTGGATGTTTAAAGCCATGGAAAAAAATCCACTAATAAATATATAAGAAATGTTTTGCAACTGAATGTTGCTCCAAAAGGACAGTTT